CCAGTCAGCCGGGTGCAGGGCTGAGCTGGAAGTCCGCCTCCCCTGAAACTCATCGTCTCGGGCGTAGCACCCTGAGCTCTGCTGCTCTTGGGGCAGGGAGCACAGAAGGAGTGGCAGCTAGCCTGTCCGCCGCCGGGGCCTGCCAGGCATGTCCCCTGCTCACTGTCCCTTTCCCAGCCCAAGAGGTGGCTCAGGTGAGCGCTGCATGATGGCCAAGGCCATACCGGCAACGATGGAGTGAGCACCTCCTGTGTGCCAGGCGCCGTGCAAATGATTTCATCCATCACCACGCTAATTTCCTTCCCTGCACCCCCCTGGCCCCCAAGTAGTGGCGAGCCATCATTTCCCAGTCTAGACAAGGACAAGGACACTAAGGCCATGAAGTGAGGGGACTTGCCCAAAGCTATAAACCTAAAACTGCTCTAAAAGAGAAAGTCCATTAAAATAAAACCAAAACAAAGCAAAAAAAAAAAAAGTACACAGAACCAGTGAGGCTAATCTTTCCTAATTGCTGGAAACAAAAGCCTTTTTTTAACAAAAGATAAGGCTGGGTCTGTGTTGCTCAGCCTCTCCTTTTCCCCTTCTTTCGGACACCAGGAAGTGACCAGGACGGAGTTAAACATTTAACCAGAGAGTGGGGGTGTCTGTGGAAGTCTGACCTTCACCGCTGCTTCTTGGGCTACTGCTGTGAGGGTGACATTGAGCTACATGGAGTCCTGACCCTGCTGAGGAGAGAGCCCATGGCCACCTCACCCTCCCGACCCCCCGGGGAGGCATGCATGTCCCCCAAGCCAGAGTCTCCGTCCAATGTCACGCAGATGGTGATTCAACAAGTCAGGCGCAGATACGCAGAAGGACAAGGTCCCTCTTTGTCCCTAGGACCTTGGGAAACAGCTGGACTGGGGGCCAAGAGCAGCCCTTGATGGCTTCCCACTTGTCATGACACCTTACATGTAATCAATAGCAGCGTTTTATTGGTGTATGTTTATTTTATAATGTAAATATTGGCATGCAACTTCTAAGTTCAAGCTTATTAACATTCCTTTGTTATAAACTGAGCCAATAAGAGCAAAGTCACTGTTTTGATGACTGTACATTTTGAGACTGTTGTAGTTTCTTAAAACGAAAGTTAGCCTTCTGTGTCTAATGTAGCAAGGAAATCTGGATTCCCAGAAATAGTTGCGCGTGATAACAAATATCTTGTTCTACAATCACAGGGTGACCTTCGATGTATCTGATCCAGGAGCTGACAAAGTGTAAGGTGAGACTGCACTCAGAATGCAATCTCTCCTGGCTTCCGGGACCTCCTCATCCTCTGGGGTTTCAGGGACCAAGGAAGGAGTTCTGGAGGAAGTTTCCGTCTTCACCTCAGGGCAGAAAATACTTGACAATGTATGGCATAAAGCCTGCGCAGTTGTTGGTCTTCATTCAAAGTTTTAAGCACTCACTTTAATGTATCAGTTTTGTCATTGACACTTGTTCCACTTGGACACCAATGGCAACACTGTAACCCTAACCCCCTCAGAAGGAGCTGTTCCACTTAGTAAAAGTTAGAAGTATCTATCTGTTGGGAACAGTGCTTTCAAAATGCATGATGCGTAAGAACCAACTGAGAAACTCGTGGAAAACGGGGCAATCCCGATGCAGGGTGACCTGGAAATGCCCACTTGGGGAAATGTCCACACAACGTGAACACACCCCGCCGACTTCGGGCGGGAGCAGGCTCCGGGGTGACGTGGCTCTGCCAGGGGCACTGAGTGGGACGAGGCACGGTGTGGCGTGTGAGTGGAGCCGTGTCCTTGCCGGTACAATTTTATGTGAGCAGACGTGCGCAGGCCGGAACAGAACGGAGCAAGGGAGGCCGGGGTAATTGCCTCCTAATCAATGACACATTTGCAAGGAATTCAGATCTTGACGCAACTTGGCAGCGGGGAGCCTCATTCCAAGGTGTATCTACAACTGTGTGTCCCTGGCCTCAGTGGTTAACGCTTCGGTGTCTTCGAATGCACAGCAAATATTAGCCATGCACAGGACATATTCTTGGGTCTTCTTTTAGTCACAATTTTTAACATTTACTTTTAAACTTTATTTTTTATTTAGAGAGAGGGGAAGGGAGGGAGCAAGAGAGAGAAAAACACATCAATGTGAGAGAGAAACATCAATCAGTTGCCTTCTGGGTGCGCCCTGACCAGGGACCAAACCCACTGCCCAGGAGCATGTCCTGACCGAGAGACGAACTGGCGACATTTCAGTTTGCAGGACAGCGCCCAACCAACTAGCCACACCAGCCAGGGCTAATCACCCATTTCTGTTTTATTTATTTATTTGTAAAGGTTTTACTTACTATAAAATAATGTTTAGAGAGAGGGCAAGGGAGGGAGAAAGAGAAGGAGAGAAACATCAATGTGTAGTTGTCTCTCATGCGCCCCTCACCAGGGACCTGGCCTGCAACCCAGGCATGTGCCCCGACTGGGAATTGAACCAGTGACCCTTAGGTTCACAGGCCAGCTCTCAATCCACTGAGCCACACCAGCCAGGGCTAATGACCCATTTTTAAAAAGAGCCCTTTTACAAAATGTGCACGAGCCCTCACACACACTCAGCCACCACGGACTGCGCCTGCTGCCTCCTAAGAGTGCCATGGTGTGATCTCAAGACTCCTTGTACTTGCCGTAAGTACCAGATTCTGTGATTACGCCCATTTTACAGCTGAACTGAGACTTGAGTGGCGGAGCAACTTGCTAGCACCACATACCTGCTGGCCGCTCAGCCGCCTTCCCCACGGCACGCGCCCTCACCGCTCGTGTCTGCAATGCTCTGGCCCAGCGGAACCTTCCTCTCTCCCTGGGGAGCAGGATTTCTCACCTCTGGGCCTTTGTGCTCCTGACTGCCATCCACCTGGGCTTGGTCAGACGTCACTGCCTTCAATACTGTCGCCCTCCTGCTGGAGGGTTTCTCCTCCCACGGGACCACGGCCACGCCTCAGTGGGAGGTCTCTCCTACGGCTTTTCTGGATGCCAGATCCTGCAGAGCCTTCCCAGGAGCCCGGGCAGGACCCAGGTTCACCCCTTCCTGAATCCCCCAGCCATGCCCAGCCCCCCCGCCACCGCCTTACACTTTGCAATTAAGGATTGAGTGAATGTCTGTAGCAAACTTTAACATTTTTCCTTGAAAGAAGCATGTATGCCAATGTACGAGAATATTTTACCGGCGATACAACTATATTTGGATGTTTTTATTATTATTATTTTTTGAGAGTGTTTTGTTCTCTGTGAAAGTATGGTTTAACTCCTGAGCTCAGGAGTTTATCTGAGTTGTCTGTTTATCCTGGCTGCTCAGTGGGAAACGGCTACTATGAGACTAACCCAGTCAGCCTCGGTTCCGGACCCAGGCAACGGACACATTTTGTGGGAGGGAGGGAGCCAAGTGGCAGTTGACAAAGTGTGACCACATGTTAGCCGCTCAGATGCGGAGCACTCACCTGCGCGTCCAGAGCTGCCCTGCACGCTTCCACCTGCTTTGCCCCGTGGACTCCTCGCCACGCCCTGTGTCACAGATAGGGACCCAGAGGTGCAGAGAGCCGCAGAGACGTGTGCAAGGCCCCTCCGTGGGGAAGGGGAGGAGGCAGGACTGGGCTCCGGGCTCCTTTGAGTATGATTGAAGGAGGCTAGATGTAATGTTGTGTAACATTCCTGGGGATCAAAGCTGGTTCATCGCTGGCACAGGGGAGCTCTCTTTGGAAAAATACCCTGATGAGCTGCTGGGACAGAAGGTGAGACCCAGAGAGTTCAGCGACAGCGTCAAACTGCTGCATGCAAGCGAGTGAGAGGAGCTCTGGTGTTGTCCCGAAAGTGAGGGCAGAGGAAAGAGGGTCATGTGACAGGTAGTGACCTCTTGGGCCATGAGGCCAGAAGGGCCTGGGGGGTGTTTTGTGTTGCTAGGCAGTGCCAGGCTCCATGCCTCGTAGCTGTACCCGGGCCGCAGCGGTCCCTGCTAGCCTTGCAGTTCTCGGGATGAAGGGGGATTATGGGAGGTGCGTGTACAGGGAGAAGGCGGCGATGCTGAGGACCGTGGGAAAGAGCAGCAGGCTTGAGGCAGAGGTGACAGACACTTGTTCAGATACCACCGGGAGGACTCTGGATCTTCACAAGGCGTGGGACAGGGGTGGGCATGGACCTTACCCAGATCTTAGGGGCCTGGGAGACCCTGGCTGATGCCTGGGTTTGGCACGCATGCTCCAGAGGTGTTCTGGGCAGCAGAGTGGTCCCAGTGGGCTGAGTCCTGGAGAATGCCAGGGACTTCTTGGCATTGACTTGTCCTGGCACAGCGTGGTGGTGCCTCCCCCCCCTTTCTTTCTCTATTATTATCATAAGCACAATGCAACAGAATAGTTTAGAAAGGGAACCACCACTCTTTCTTGTGGCTTCTCTTCCAGTCTCCACCCACAGGCACAGGAATAGCAGTTTTCGAGTTCCCACCATCGTGGATTTTGTTTCTGGCTTTTTCTTCTGGTGTTTTTAGCATTTTTATCCTGGCCCTGCCGTGTACTCTCTTTATTCCGGCCACTCCCCCAAAGGTTACCTGGTGCCAGTGTCCCAAACCCTCCCTTGGGCTTTGTATGCACAAACTTGCAGAAAGCCTTCCCTAAAGTCCTACTCAGATACGGTGTTGCCGTGCCGCGCTCCCCACCCCTGGATGCCCGCAGAACCGTAAACCTCTAGCTCCGTAGTTTCACCGGCTGAGCGAACTCAGAGAACCACAACCTCAAAGTCGTTCTGGGAGAGTGACCCTAGCAACCCGCTCAGCCGCTTAAGTAAGCACAGACCTTTTGATTGACAGGGGAAGCCGCCAATGGTATCCAGACAAGCCTCTTTTGTGCTGGGGACCGTGAGCCGCTTCTCTCCTTTGATCCAATAAGATGCCCAGAAAGGGGTGTGGGGTGGGGCCCTGCTCCCAACAGCCAATGGGACGAGCCCAGCGGGCGCGGAGGAGGCGGGGCGCTCGGCGCTGGCGGCAGAAGCGGCTGCGGCGGAGCAGGGCAGGGCCGGTTAGCGCTGCCGGAGCCAGGGCCGGAGCCGGAGCAGGAGCCGGAGACGCGGTCGCTGCCGGAGCGGGGTGCGCGGCGGGTCCGGAGACGAGCGGCGGCCGAGGTGAGGGGCGCGTGCGGGCGGTTGGGGAGGCTCGGGCGGACGCGGGGACCCTGGTCGGCGGCGCGGCCCTCGCGCTGTCAGGCCGCCGCGCCCCGCGCCGCGGGCAGCCTCTGCGGCCGCTCTGCCAGCGCGCGAACTTCCTGTCGCCGTGGGAGGGGGTGTGTTCGGGGCGCCGCGGGCGCCGCGGGGGGCGCCGGAGAGGACGCCTGGGCGGGGGGTCCGGAGGGTCGTGGGGGTAGGCTTGAGGGAAAGTGGGAGCCGGCGGGGCGCGGGGCGGGGGCTCGCTGGAAGGAGAAGTGCCGGAGCAGCGCCCGCGGGGGTCAGAGGGACGCGGCCGGAGGGGGCGCGGGCGACCCCGGGGACGACTCGGGGAGGAGCGGGGGCCGCGGCCGGGAGGGCAGCCCGGCGGCGCGGAGGTGCCCTGGTGGAGGCGCGGGCGGCCGGCCGGGGAGACGCGCCGGCGGAGAGGTGTGGCTGGGAAACGCCTGTCCGAGGGCTCGGCCGGGTCCAAGGGTGGCCGGGAGGGAGGGGGCGGAGGGAGCGGGCCGGACGCGCAGGCGGATGCGCTCGTTCGGGGCGCTTTGATGACCGCCCTCCGCTTCCTTCCTTCCCAGCCCCCCTGCCCCTGTCCTGGCGCAGAGCCCTTCCCCGTGAGCCGGTCCTAGGGCTGCGGGGACCGGCAGGAGAGCCTGGGGCGGTTTGCCCGCTCGCCCCTCTGAGTTTTCCCGGACTGTCACTGACTCACGGAAACGTGAGCGTCCTCCCTCCGGCTCTGGGGTTTCGAGCCTGCCTGGCATCCAGAGGGGTCCGGGATGGGAGAGTGTGCGATTTCTGCTGCTCGATTTCGGTGGTTGCTGGGGTTTTTGCCCCCCCCTCCTTCCCCCGCGGGGTGTCCAACCCGGGGCCGCGGGCAGCGTGCGGCCCAGGATGGCTATGAATTCAGCCCAAGGCAAACTCGTGAATTTACTTAAATCTTCCCCCCGCCCCCAGCAGTGTTCTCTAGTGTTTGTGTATTTAATGTGTGACCCAAGACAGCTCTTCTTCCCGTGTGGCCCAGAGACGGCGCAAGGACGGACACTCAGATATTTTTTTCAGACACAGCTGGTCAGGGAAGCAGACTGGGCTGTGGCCCTGGGACCCACCCAGCTGCAGCCCTTGAGGCTGCTGCTGCTGGCCGAGTGCAGGAGGGAAGGGAGCCTTCAGGTGGGGCGGTGTGTTCCCTTTCTGGATCTTGTCTTCTTTTGGGCACCCCAACTGTGGCGTGTTTTTGTGGTTAAGGAGGGTAGGCTGCTTACCATCTCCAAGGCTACTCATTACACTGTTTGCCAAACACTCCCTGTCTACCCTGATGAAAAGAGAGAAGCCAGCTCCGAGAATTGAACGCTGCAGAAGGCAAGCTCGCACCTTCCTCCCGTCCTTGTTCTCGTAGGTTCCTCCCCTGCGGTTGTCCCCATATGCTGAAGCTGTGTGCCGACCCTCCTAGGACTGAGGGGTTGGAGCCCAGGCAAGGTGGGGGCAGCCGTTGAGTGCCAGCCCTCCCGTTCTCGCCCCAAATGTTCTTACTCCCCTTGATCGCAAGCCTGCCTGCAGCCTCCTTATATAGAGGCACTGGAGCGGGTGGGGGCAGGCAGTGCAACTCGGGTTTCTCTTGGTTCATGGGGGAAACTCATCTCTATGCCTTTAAATTTAACATTCGAGTTTGGCAGTCTCCTTGGTGAGGTCGTTCTCGTTGAGATATGAGGCCGGGGCATCAGAAACTTTCCTATGGTGTGTTTTTCTTGTGCCAATTGTCTTGAAGCTTTCAAGAAAGTGGCCATTAGGCCGATGATATTTATTACTTGGGAAAGTAACATAACACAGACGAGCAGATCAGTGATTAGATCTGCAGTCGGTTCACTTTTTTGGGAGAAGAATACAAACTCATTTGAATGGAAATGGCGTTCTTAGCTCATGCTGTTCGGGAAGTGGAACTTTATTACTTTCAGTCTCAAATGTATAAGAGGTCGTAATATCGAAATAACCTAAAAGCATGCATATATGTGTATATATATATATAAACCAATGTGTGGGTGTTGAACATGTTCTGCCTCCGGGAAATAAAGTTGACTTTCCCCAGTCCTGGACGCCGACCAAGTCCATATCTCCCGTGGCCAGGCCAATTTCTGGGTGGGAGCTGAGGTCCCTTTGTCCTTAAGCTTTTTGTTTCTTCTCAGTTCACTTCCAAGTCCATACAGACTGAGTTAGGAGCATGCGGTCCAGGCTTCCTGCTTCTGGGGGGACCCTCTGTTGCTGCAGGATGTTTCGGAATATCGAAAGATTGCAGAGATGCCTTAATAATAACAGTGATCACGGTTCCTTGTGTGTAGAGGTCCTGCCAGCCTCTACCGAGCGCGCTCTGGCCACTTTCACCTGAACCCCCCGGCCGACTTGGGCCTGCCTTATCTGCCATCGGATTGTAGCAGTGGCTCCCCTACGGGAGGCCACCCTGTAGATTACGAGGTTAATGATCACCGTCACGTGAGCGATAGCGCTGGCTCAGTTTTTTTCCAGTGAGATTGTTGGGAGCGGCAGCCGCATACCTGGAGCAGTGATGCCTCAGCTGTGACGTCAGTTTGCACTCCACAGGCAGCTAGCTGCCTTTTTTTCCTGGCCCTGGCAGTGACCCGTCACATGCGTGAAAGCATCATCCTGACTGCCCCCGGGGGTGGTCCCTGGGAGGGCTGTGTGGGGATCCCTTTAGTGTTTGGTGTCCGCACTGAGGGGTCCCTTAGCATTCGGGTACCTGGGCTCTGGCTGCTGCTCGGAGACAGTCTGCAAAGGAGTCTCGAAGCATTCCGTGCGGTGCGACATTCTTGTCCGTGTGGTTCCAAAGGTGACTGACTGTCTGAGGGACAACTGCCATCTCAGAGCACAAGTTTTGGTATTTTGATTAAAAACACAAAGAACAACAACAAAAATCTCTTTTCTTTAATTATGTAATGACTTGTATTTATTTCCATGATTGCACATGTATCTGTTTGCTTAATAAAACAGCACCATTTCGTCTTTTTTTTGTCTCCTAGATGAAAATCATTATTTTTAAACATTGACATATACTTGACATATAAACTTAATTTAAAAAAAATTTCAACATTAAAAAATCATATTTCCTGTCTCCAGTTACTGAGCTAGACAGATGAAAATATAGAAATGTATAAATGTAAACTCAACTATCAAAAACCTCAGCTAGAAGCCTTAAGAAGGAAAATTAGGATAGAAATTTGCTATAACCTGAATAAAATAATATTGAACGTCAACTGTAATTGAAAAATAAAATAGCCCTGGCTGGTGTGGCTCAGTGGATTGAGTGCCAGCCTGCGAACCAAAAGGGTTGCTGGTTTGATCCCTGGTCAGGGCACATGCCCAGGATGTGGGCCAGGTCCCCGGTGGGGGGTGTGGGGGCGGCACCAGACTGCTGTATGTTTTGCACATCTGTGTCTCTCTCCCTTTTATTCTCTCTCCCTTGCCTCTCTCAAAAAGTAAATAAATAAAATCTTAAAATAAAGATTTATTATTTATATATTTATCTAAAGATATAAATTTTATTGCATTTCTTTTTTTAAGATTTTATTTATTTATTTTTAGAGAGAGGGGAAAGGAGGGATAATGAAAGGGAGAGAAATAGCAGTGCTCGAGAGAAATATTGAGCGGTTGCCTCTTGCTTGCCCCTGACCTCGGGCCTGGGCTGTGGGCCCTAACTGGGAACTGAACCTGGGAATCAAACCCTCGACCTTTCTGCTCACAGGCCGACACTCAGTCCACTGAGTCACACCAGCCGGGGCTGTAAATAATAAATCTTAGCCGTGTCAAAATGCTTAGAAAGCAAGCAAGTGGAAAGATATAAATCCAACTATTGCAACTGTTTTGTTAATCTAGAAATGGCTGTGTTCTCTAAATTTTTTATTATAAGATTATGAATTTTTCATGGAAGGCAGAGCAGTATATTCTTTTAATACGTCCAGCGTAACTTTTAAAAACAGAGCAACTTGGCTGTCAAGAAGAAGCCACGTGTGCAGTGGCCTGCGCAGCGCACCCCGGCTGTCGGAGGTCTGCGGGACTCTCCTCCCCGACACTGGGGGCGGGGCGGGGGGGGAGCGTGGGAGGGGCGTGATGGCCACCGGCGGCCCTGGGCTCTGTCCGGCCGTTCCCTGACCAACCCTGAGGCCTGAGGAAATCACATTCTCTTCGGGCTCAGTTTTCATATTTGTGAAATAAGGGGCTTGCAGGTTCTTAACCTTCTGAGGATCTGATAACAACTGTGGACTTCCTCCCGGAAAGCAGACAGGCGGGCAGCTTCCGAGGCCCGGGCCCAGAGTAAGAACTGGACCATCTCGTCTCTGAGCTCCTGCTCCCCCGCCCTCACACACTCTGAAGTCCTGTCTGCCCGTCGTCTTTGAGCTAATAATAGCGATGAATAATGTGCTCATAGGGGATACGTTCTAATACCTCTCTCTCTCTCTCTCTCTCTCTCTCTCTCTCGTCTTTAAGACATTTCTGAGAGGTGCGGGTGGTGAGGGATACTCCTTTTTGTGATGAAGAAAGAGGCACCAGACCTGGCCACCGCTCGGGTAGGGCTGCACGGCCAGAGTTCCGTCTGGGGATCAGACCCGGGCTTCTGGTGGCCAGCTTGGGTTTTTTCCACTAGGTTTCGTTTCCTAGGTGGTTGTCTTGACGAGTTGTGTCTGGCAGTGCAAATATCCCAGAATGGGTCACTTGCAGAGGAAACTATTTGTTCATCTGCTGAAAGAACTGTTTTTTTTTGTCTGAATTTGGATCACTGAACACCTTTCTGCCTGACCTTCAAAAGGTTACTTATTTTGCTTCTGTTATTTTTTTTTCTTGCCGTATTTTCCATAGGGACATGTTTGTAGGCCTTGGGTGTTTTGAGCAGACTTGTTTAATGTTTATGGTTAAAGAGTACATTGAAACGATTACTTCTCAGTATGGCTTAGCACTTGCGA